CCTGTTTTTTTTTCACTTGTTGTTGCTATCCTTGTTGTTACTGATGTCCGTTCCCTTTCAAATCGTTGAATTTTTATCGTTGTTTGTTGCTATTCGCCGTCTACGCCCGACAGATGCAGCGGCCAAACAAACAACGGGGCGAGCCCCACGCTAATGGCGTCCGTCTTCGAAACCTCTAGCGCTATCAGCGCCACACCAGCAATGTTAACGAGTCTCCTCCGTCGTTGCTGCGGTGACTGCGGACATTGAGGCCCGATTTGCCCCCCACAACAACAAGAGACGACTATTTCAGTTAGCCATGGCGACGTTCTCGTTGTCGTCATTGCTGCCATTTTTGCGAAATGGCGTTATCACTCACTGTAGAAGAGGCCCAAACACTACCATAGAGAGCACAATTCTTCCCCTCTGTCAACCTCATGTTACATCGGAAAATAACTTTGGAGATAGAAAGCTACCAGATGAACATAGCAAAACACATACAGAGTGACAAGGGATTGTACAGACCAACAGTGGTATATATTGTAAGTAATTATTCGTAGTTGGGTCTAAACCTCTTCCAGTCAACCAGTTGCTCACTTAGTTATCCGTAAACGGGTCGAATCGTAAAGCAAAAAGTTCAGGAAGAAGCACTTCGAGAGGCAATTATAATATCTTCGACAAGCCATTGATTCGTTTTCTGCTTTGGTATTTTGATGGCTGTGGTGGCCAAGATTATGGAAGTGTACTGCCTTTTCTCACCGTTAGCACAACAGTTGACTCTTTTGGGTGAACAACACAGATAACCTTGAATTGCCCGTCAAACAGTTTGGACAGGCGGAAAGAATGATTCTGTCGGGACCTTTTTCGTACGTTGTCATTAACAGGATAGGTGATCGGGCCAATACAATAGGGCAATATAGTTATCTATTCAGATAATTTTATAACTTAATAAAAAAGAGTATTTTTCTCAAGAAAATAACATCCTCTATGGATGCATAAGGTTTCAAGTCAAACAGTTTCTTAATTATACCCTAAACGGTCATTTGCATGTGCACCTGTTATATGTGAAATTACATATTAGTCCGAAGACTATTTAGTAATATAAGAATCGGTTTCCATCGACTTTTGTCAGTGACTTTGTTTATGAGTATACTGCAGGGAAAAGTAATGACACACGTGTGAGACTCAACACGCTCTTCAACTGCTGTAACTATACACATGAATATTCGGCACTCTCCTATTGTACAGCGACATGTTTCACGAAAGCAGTGGTGATAAACTTCAAACTGACAAATCATTCCGGTTAAGTTAGCGGCATCGACTTTCTATAATGAGCTAACATATGTGATACCATACATACAATCGGTTTTTAAATGTGCATACGCTTGTTTATTGACAAATACGATAAATTTGTTATTTTTTTGATTGATTCGGGATGACTGAGATTTTGCGTGCTTCCCAGTAGCCCGCTGGGAGTGGCGGGTGTGCTTAACCGCGACAGATTTTCTGTGTTAGTCAGATAGACAGTCTATTTCCGTAGCGAGGGGTTGAATTTGCTTGTGACAATTGACGCCATTGAACGGAATCCATACTGATTTTGATCGTCACAAATTATCCTCAGAAAGCCATGTATAACCTGTGTGATGATGCTGTAACTAGGATGGCTGAGATTCTACGTAGGAGGTTAAAGGTCGCCGGCTCAAGTTCAGCAATCGACTTGTTTTGACCAAACAAAGAAAGTATGTTCATAAGCCACTGTTTTCAGTTCGAGAAAAAAAATCAGCTTCAAAAAATCAAATTGTAACAACTACCAGGGTTCTCTTCTAAGGCAACTAGAAGTTCATCTGAAATTACCTGATGACAGTTCATAGTAGCGGAGTCTGAGATGTGCAGCTGCATAGTATTGGACTTTGAAGGAGCCGCTAAACGCAGAGTCAACTGCTAACAACATCTGTAGCAGCATCGATTGAGCAAATGACGCTAGACAATACATCCCTATTCAGAAACCGTGATGCAAAATAGGCCGTTACGGCTATTGAATGCGCTTGTACGACGAATGAGTTAAGATTTCAACGTGAAGCTCGAAAAATTACGTCTTTCGTAAAAATGCGTCATATGTGTTTTTTTCTTATCTCACATATAATCTACTTCATTTAAATATAACGGAATGGCGATATCTCGCATGAAATGTTTTGATAGGGTAATTGCTCATCGACTTGCGTGCAGATTGCCCAGAAATCAACCAGATCCTCGATGAGTAAGTATTGTTTTTAAGCTCAAGAGGTATCTTCGAAATCACATAATAGTATGAATGAAAACGGACTTAGTCCGTTGTCAAGCTGTGCAAATCGGCCTTTACTTTTCTTGTTAATCAGCGATTTCTAATTTGAATCAATGTTTCGTGCCGTAAGATAATAACATAATAATTCTCATTAGACCATCTACGCAAGCCTCCGATTAAACCTTTTAAGAAGTTCTCTACAGAGCGAAACCTAATATTAATAATAAATTATACTGCGCAGTTCAAATATAGCTTGCCGCGAATGGTACAAATTACCTCACATTAAGGGATGATGAAAAATCAGATTATAAAAAAAATGCCGGTATTTGAAAGAAGCTGAGGAACTAGAAATTAGAACATTTCTAGCCTATGCAATAGCCATAATCAGAGCAGTAGTACTCTAATACTAACTAATACTCTAGCTATTCGACTTTTTAAAAAATATTACCTCGGTAATTAACTAAATCTAAAACAAATTTTAGTATCTCTTACTTTCCGACCGATCTCTTTTCATTCTCTCTCTTTGCCAATCTAATCCTTTCGACGTTTTTTGGGAATCATCACTTCATAAAAACCTGAGATCGACTTAAAATTAATCAAACTAGGGTTCAAATGCGGAAGCTGAATGTAGATACAATGTGCAATTCTTAATTAACAAATATTAAATGCTTTGTTTTTTGAAGATCAGAAGCAAACGTTGAGTTGCGTAGCACATATTTGGCGCCATGAAGCTTCACATGAAGCACACATTGCTACTGCAAGAGAAAATTTGTAACTGTATCGGACAGCATATTATTTGCCTGTCTCCCTCCAGATAGGTTTATTGCATAGACATTTCTAGAACCTGCCAGGGGCATCTTTGTCAATAAAATCGACAGATGTGTTAGATCTTGAAAAATTGTTATTGGTTGACTAATGCGAATCTAATTATGAATGAATATAATTTTTGTTGTTGATGTTGCTGCTGATGTTTAATATTTGACAAGGACTATATGCGTTTGATCATAGACGGCCCTATTTAGTGAAGCAAGGCCCGTTAATGCAGCAGTTCATGCCTACAAGCTCCGACCCATGACTTATTTCGTGATGGCCATGTTCTGAGAGCGCGAACACGTTGCGATGTTTGCCCGTCTTTGCTAGGCTTAGGTCGTCTCTGTATACCTTGTTCTGCACGTACGTTGCTGTACGTGCGATTGAGCCCGCACGAACTCCCAAAGATAAGGAGCTGATGGTGACGGTGCAACTTCGAAGTTGGTTGGACGAACCTGTGCCTGCGGTACTTCGTTCGTTCGTATGATTAGCGTTGCCGATGATGGCGCTATATTGCGTGGACGCTTCCTTCCCATTCGTCGAAGAGAAAGGGTCGATCTCTTCCGTTCTATCACGCACAAGCACCATCGTACTACAGCCATTGCTGCTGCTGGAACTCCTAATCCGGCTGCTGGTGTGCTGCATCTCCTGCGGCGGCAGCGATCGCAGCGACGAAATGGAAAGGACGGTTTGTTTCTCTCTCACGCACACAGCCACCGCGGCCGGCCGCTAAAAAAGCGGCGGATGCTGCAACGGCGCTCTGGCGGCTCCCTGCAATGCTGATCGTTCGAACTCTGTTGTGCCTGCTGTGAGCTGGGCGCGCGAGTCGATTGCGCGGAGGGCGGGAGACAGCGGGATACCGCGTCGTTTAGCCGGCTGGTCCACAGTGTGGCTGGTTGTGAGTCGGCTTAGTCGATTGTTCTTTGAGGGTTTGGCGGGTTACTGATCGCGCCCATGACTGCGATGCCGTCGCCGCTGCGCTGCTGGCGAAGCTGGATTCCCGTCGTTCGTAGTCACAGTGAGTGGTCGGTCGGTCGTCGTCATTGAGAGGCGCGCAGAACGAGCGAGCGGCAGCAGAAGCGCAGCAGAGTGTGTGTAGCAACGCAGGCGACGAGGTGGCGTCGGCGTCGTCACAGGAGACGAGGTGACAGCAACAGTATGAAATAAAGAAAAAAGTGAGTAGAAAACTCAGTAAATTCAGAAACGAGGACGACAAAGCAGAACGCCCGACAAAAATAAGAAACGACAAGCCAGAATTAAGAGGATAGGAAAAAACATAACAGAAAAACATCGAAAAGTCAAGCTACACCAACGAACCAATTCAATTCCGAGATTGCTGCTATCGTTACTACAACTGCTGCTGCTGCTGCTGCTACTGCTGCTGTCAGTTAAAGTCGTCAGGCGAAAAAAAGTACAGGGAGAACAGGGGAACGGATACGCGGTCCGCAACTCTTTTCTCTATCTCATTAAGCAGTCAGTCTTCGTTTCTTGTGTGTCTCTCTTCACTGTCAGCGTTTTTGGCGGCGGTTTGTGTGCGCGTGTGCTTGTGCCTGTCGTCTGGTGTTGATAAGTGATAAAGAAAATCAAATGCGGAGGTGACCGACATTAGTGCGTCTTCTTGTATTTGCCGCAGTGAGAATGTTCATTTATTTCGACATCATTTTACACGTCGATAAGCACACAGCGGAATAAGGACTACAGTCGCTTCCATCGTTGCTGCGTCTAGCAGAAGTAGCAGCACTAGAATTCTTCATAGACCGATCTGAATCACATCAGAAATAAGCAAACCAGAGGATATCGTAAGACGAGGACCTCGAGAGCGTTCAACAGCAGCTCAATGTGATAACCTTCTTCCTAGCGCAAGGCAAAGGAGACGACGACGGAGAACATCGACGGACCTGATCTGGAGATAATATAATAAGAGGTATAATATTAGTTATACAAAAGTACACCAACAGTTTTACCTGCTTACGCACGCATCCCATACACACGGTGCAATGAACAAAGGAGTACGCCAAAGAATGAATTGTTCATGCATACTCGCATGTTGATCTGTGTGTTTAACTCAGTCTCGTTCGACGAGAGGGCACCAACATGAATTGTTCAGTGCTATTTTTCTGTCGTGCATCTGTCTTTTCGGATAATGCGTACAAGTAATCGTCTGTGCAGGTATCCGTATCCGAATATCCGAATCATGAGTCGAGTGATGACAACGGTGGTCAGCTTGGTCAAGAGTGAACCTAGCTTAAGTTCTACTGCCGATACCGATGATGGCGATGTAAATTGTACGATAAGTAGCTCACTCATTCATTCAATTCTTGTCGGTGCTGAAGCTATGCCGTAATAAAGCAGGTGTGCTGTTTATAAACAGGCAGACAGACACAAAAATACGTATATTGTATAGGCACTTTGCCTGTTCATTACTTTTCGCTTGAGAGAGCTTCTCTAAGAAATTCGCTTCACCGGAAGATACGTTTGCTGGCTGTTACTATCCATAACACATCGTCAGCAAGTCTGTAGACCACGTTCGTAGGCTGCGCTGCAAAAGCGGGAATAAACTCTGAAATACCACCATCATACGATGTCGACAACGGCCCAAGCATCGAGTACAAAAGAGGTTCTGGAAACGTAAACGTAACAGACAATAATATACATATACAATTCAATTCAACACACACACACGCACGCACACATGGAAGCCGTCTACATTGTTTCCACTCTCTACTTGATTCATCCATCACCCGTTCCTTTACCATCAGCCAGCAGCCACTATTTTGTTCGTTTCTCGGCTTGAGAACGAACCAAACCGCTACTGCTGCAGCAGCGTCATGATCGTGATCAGGATCATCATCGTCGTCATGTTGATGAACTAACTAGTCAGGCAGAAACACGCAGCCAGCCCATGAAAGGACCTGAGCTGGTGCTGCCGGTGATGCTGCTGCTGTCGCTGCTGAGAATCAACGAAGCAGCCTGTTCAATTAACGAACGTTGATAGGCTGGGTACGCGCGTCCTAATCTAAGTGAGTTTGTCTTCAAAAAAGGGTAAATAAAAATGACCTGATCAATATCGTGCTAATAATGATCGGTATAAAATACCTAATCGCAGTCTGTTCGCGTTGATAATGGAAAACGGCGCACTCTACCCTTTAACCAGTGCAACGTTTTTTTTTCTAAAAACAGTGTAATTAAATATAATGCAAAGCGCACCATTGCATATTATTTGAACATTATAAACGATTCGAAATAGCAGTAATAAATAGCTCGCTAGCAAGATGAATAACGAACGCTTGCAGATGTTTGTGAATCTATCAAATTTATTGGTGCGTGCGTGTTATATGCAAGATCGTTTAGCTGGTTTTGCTGACTATTTTTTAAATATCAGACGTGTGGTAGGAGAACCCGATTGATACTGCTGAGGTGACGGTTCCAGATCACGACTATTGAGCGGGGATGCAATAACTATCCTTAAAATGCGACATTCGTTGATGTTTTCTAATTTATTGTTTGTACGTATTCGATATTGCGGTAGGTGGTTTTTCGAAATGTGTGTGTGTGTGAGTGTGAGAAAGGTACCTTGCAGTCGAAGACTGCCTATCTTTTTTCTATGCATGCTGCCGCTTGTTCTGGTGCTTTTGCTGGTGATTCTCTGCTATTTTATGAGTGGGGTTTGCAATCAGTGGCTCCGTGGTTTGGTTCAATCGATAGTTTTTGTTCAGGAGAGTAGGTCGAAAGGGGTTGTGGGCAGGTCGGTGAAGGTTTGAAAAGTTAGTTGATCTAACTGATCGAGTACAGCGAGTCAGTTGCTTAGATTTTTAATCCCGGGGTTGCTGGGCTCGTCGTGGGCTTGCTGGCCGTTGGCAGCCAACTTAGACCGTCTCTTTCATGCGGTGATCCGTTCTTGCTTCTTCTTCGTCCATGTGTGTACGTAGTGTGTTTTGCTCCTAGCGTTTTCGCTGAGGCAGAACAGCAGCATAGCTGAACAATAAGGCTCCGAAGAGAGACAAAGAAAAACATAATTATATAAAACTTTACTGATTAATGGTGTACACATACATACAGCATTTAAACTACTGCATTTGTTTTTCAATCATTATTCGTACTCTTCGTCTCGATTCTCCGAACGCCGCCTACAACTGCTTCTATTCGTGCGTATCTTTTTCCTTGAGTGAGCAAAGCGGTGTCGCGTCGAGGGAGAAGGATTTGTGCTCTGCCATAGCCAGGCTTAAAACAGAGGATGGTTCTAACCCTCTTTCATTGGTGTTTTGGTGACCATTTGTTATCTATTGTGTGCGTTCTCTATACTGGATTATAACCTTACACTACGAAAAAAGCAGCAACAGAAATTTTGCATCAACTAACAGCCCCATCGTTCTCGCATCGTACACAGAGCGCATTCTGGCCGTCGCTGATAACAGTCGGCAGAGGGAGCAGGCATCGAGTAACAACAAGCACAACAACAGCATCTGCTGAAACTAACCGCAGCAACAACCGCAAGGCCGAGAAAAGAAGCAACAACAATATGCCTGCCGCGTTGTTTTCATCGGATATGGAGCGGTCGGGCTCGGCCGGACTTGAGGACCAACGAGCATTACAATTGGCGCTCGAACTGTCCATGCTGGGCTTGCAGCCCACTGGAACGGTCCATGGGACTGATCAGACGGGCGCCTCTGATCTCGGATTTACCACCGGGGCAACCCCAGATCAACTGGAAGCCGCCACACGCCAGCCATTAGCCAACGGCGCCGGTCCTAAAAAATCCCAAAACACCACTGAGTGCGTGCCTGTTCCCAGCTCCGAACACGTCGCAGAAATTGTCGGCCGTCAAGGTGAGTGACCGATCGTATCTTATTTTGGAAATATTTACTAAAACCTTATTGCCCTACTAAATCTTGCAAATTCTGTCAAAATCTATTTTATGAACGAGCTTTTTTGCATTATATATGAAAACCCTGCAAGCCCAAATTTGTATTTGGTTTTTAGAACGGCTCTCTCAAAAAACGGCGTTCATTGATGCCCCTAGCCATATTTATTGTTATTGTTATGATTTGACCGTCTCCACATCGTATGATGGTGGTGTACGATCGTAGGAATTGGGGGCACATGCGTGGTCGTATCTATGGTGCTGGAATTGATGATGCACACGGATGCCGCCATTTTTACTGGCGCGCGCGCGCGCGGATGCGCAGAAGAGGGGGTCTTGTCTGGAGAAAACAACGAGCTGGGCGCCAAAGCGGCTGCATTTTGTAGGCTGCAGCCACATAATCCGGGTTTGTAGAACTATGGAAAGTTAACATTACGAATGTGCATTTCTATTTTTAAAAAGAGGCGACCGCTGTAATAGAGGTTAGGCTTAGTTTCCGGATCGGCGTATGAACTACTTCGGGTTATTTTAATAGTGTCATATGCAATAATAGTACCTAATTAGTGTATTTGATCTTACATTTGCATAAATAGGAGGTCATCATCCGCATTTGTATTCGGATCACACTTTATGGATCTGAGCTCAAGATCAAGTAAATTTACTCGTCAATTTAAACTTGTTTTAAATGTCTGGAACCTCTTACCTTTAAATATATTGAGCCCATTAAATCACCTAATCAATGTAGGAGATCCAACAAAAGTTGTAACCGCTTAAATTGTGTTAAAAAAGAATAACGAGTTAACAAAAGCTTTGGAATGTTAATTGCTTCCTTAAGTACTTTTAGAGAAACAATAATAAAAAGAGTGTCATTTATTATTCATGCACAAAAAGTCCAAGTGATCTTCAAATCTTGCGTCGAGACTTGTTAAGCCAAAATTGATGCAGATTTATTTTCTAGCTGCACGTAGGCCAGCCGTTCGTCTCGCTTTTAATTTTGCATTTGTTATCTTTAAACATGGCATTGCCACAGTCTGTTTAGTCAACAGAATTACTAGCATTTATCAAGTGTATTCATGAACTAATATATATATATATATATATATATATAAGGATGTCTGGTTTACGTTTTACTCATCGAATAAAATGTCCTAGACGTTTAGCTGCTAGTAAGGTACATATGGAATATAGGGTACTTACAATTTGCGTTATGCCTCGTGATTTAACTGTTCGTTCTGCAGCAGCGGCTCTGAAAAATCTCAAACATTTTGGGGCAAATGGAATGCTACTGACACCTGCGTGTATATGGGAATTCAATCTAAATATGGTTTTGTGGCCTTGATGTTGTTGTTTTCCAAAGAAGCTTTTTTTAAGACGCTACTGATATAAAGAGAACTGCTATGTAAAGCATAACCGTTTAATATGGCTACCACCTGCTTTTAACGGCAGCTTTACCAGGGTTACACAGGCACCTTTCCGAATTTCAAACCTTAACCAAATAATATGCTAAAAGGTTAGATGACAGGAATTCACTAGCGCAAAGTTTAGTGAGCTACAAAGAGATTCTATAAAGGTGTTCACTGGTCTGAATGAAAATGCCTGGTTCATTTTTGGTGGGTTCCGGCCTTTTCTGGTCTGTAGACCTACATACATCAACCGGCCAATAGCAGAGAGTTGCCGTCGGGCGAGGATGCCTGTCTATTTGTTGTCAGTACTCGGTCCACAAGACGGCACCACTTGCCCCCGTCAGGGACTGCCGCTGCCGTTAGGTGTTTGGATCTTTGTCTCGAGGATGAATGAAGTCGGTTAAACGCGCGGCTATTGGTCGCCAAATAAGCAGAGCAACTTATGGGAAGCGGAATACTGGGCCGCTTGCCCGCTTTCGCAAGGAGTGTACAATGTTACCTGTTATTGTATTATATCCTACGGTACATACCATTGCCGGTTTAGTCTTTGACTAAGCTATTATAAGTGTAAGTATCTTTATTAGTAGTTAGACATTAACTTCAAAGGATATTTCTTTAGAGTGTTATAGTGAAATTCCGTAGATATTTTATAAAGTATGCCATGTTGAAACGCCTCCTATTTAGAAAAAGAATATTAATTACAGTATAAAGCACTTGGTTTTGAGTCTTGAGTTGTCTGAGCTTCCTTTGCTGATTGATTTCTTTTGTATGGTAAAGCTTTGCACAATCCGTATTTAATCGTTTTGGTACATTAAGACTTGCTTGTTCAATTAACATTTAAATTGAGAATTAGGTAGAGGATAATCAAAGTAGAATACGCATTATTTCTGTTGTAGATTCTGGGTCATCCGTTCGATTAGTAAATATTGAGAAGTCGTTAAGGCGACTTGTTACCGGCTTACTATTATAATTGGGCACCTTTTTGTTGAAGTGCGTTTTATTGTATGTTGTTTCGTTACGGGACTGGTATTGTTTCAGTTGATTTAACTTGTTCAATATTCATTTTGATATATAATACTTATCTGGTCAAATTTATTTTTACTGAGTAAGACAAGTATATAGTTTGTATATTATTATAATATTAATATAATAATTAAATATAATTATAATGCGAGTCTTCTATTGTTCAATTCCAACCAACTAACGACGATGTAAACGACCACGACGGTGGGCTGAGTCTGATTTGTAACGTTTGTTTTAGTTCGAGCAAATCGGCAAATCGGAGAGTATAATATGAATTGATACTTTAGTGTATAAAGAACAACTATACACTATATATATTTTTGTAAACTTTGTGCTGAAATATTCAACCGATTACAAGGTAGCTTCTGCAACGACCCATGCAGTTTGTCTGCGTGAAAATCGTTGTTATTGAGGATCATTGTAGTCGTATAATTGTTTCTAATAAGTTGAAGTCGTGTTGTTTAGCTCGGCGAATGATGTGTGCCACGCGCGTGTGGCGCGAGTGAACAACCCTACTTTCATTTATTTCGGAAGGAAGGCATGTAATGTCTTCCTTCTGTTCTGCTTTTCTTCGAATCTCGACGGCAATTGAATGGTCTTCCGCTATTGATTTGAGCTTGTATTACAACGGAGGTGTCTTCGCTACCTACAAACGATATTTTAGATATCCTTAATTGACGTCTGTGCTACAACTAATGAGACTATTGGGGTCATATAGGTATAGACGAATCCTCTAACCTTTCATTTTGTCAATAATATCGGAGTATATAAGGTATATCTACAGGAAAATATTACTTTCATTGGTCTATTCTTGTATGTTAGGGTAAATTTCATATTTATGTGGACAGATTTTTAACGATGAAAGTTGTTTCCAAACTATTAATATTGGATTTTCTTGGTTGCCCACGTGGTACAAACGGCAGTAGGAGCTCAAAAACTTCAGCACTGTGATAGTCCGGGAGGTCAGATTGGAGAATGGCCGGTGGAGAACGAAGCGGCGACCGACTGGGGCGAGGGGGGTAATGGTAGCGCCGAGATCTGAGAAGTAATAGTAACAATAGCAACAGCAGTAAGCCGAAGCATTGGAAACGATAGGGTGAGTCCAGAGCAGCTGTCGGTCTGTCGGTAGGTCGGTATAGGCTGTTCAGTTGACGGACCACTAATATGTGTGTGTGCGTGATGGTAACGGTGGTGACTGTGGAAGCGTTGGTGGGCTACTCCTATTGCTGCTGCAGGTGCTAGTATGGTAGCGATGGAACAGCATCACCATCGCACGGGGTGTCTAGAAGGAGACCTGAGAAGCTTAAAACTCTCTTGCCTTTTCCCTTTAGCTATCAGCCGGTACATACAGACATATAGGCACAGTTCCTATGCCGTCTATTCCTCAACTTTCAGCTAGCCTCGGACCGCGCACCTCCTTTTGAGTGGATGAGTGCACCTTTGGAGGCCAGCCGACCGACAAGCCACTTGGTCTATATACTACAGCTGCTGCTGCATCGCTTTGCTATGTTCTTCTGCTTTCTCTAACTGTTCCTTCCCTCTTTGGAACAAGCTCACTATCACAGCCACTACTCATAGTACCCGCTCTTGCCAAGCTCCGGCAAAAGCTTGCTGCTATGCTGTTTCTTCACCAGCTCTGTGTCTCTTCGTCCCAGTTCTTCAACAGATCAAGCAGCCAAGCAACCATCCCAAACAAGTCGTTGTCGTTCCTCCACCCCTAAACCCCGCACCACTGAGTTCTCCCCGTAGAGTTTTCCTTTGCACTCACTGTTCTTCCCGATTCTTTCCTGATTCCTAGGCATTTTGTGTCCTTCTCGCGGCGGCTGCACCGACACCGCTGAGTTACATCAGTCAGTCGGCTGGCCGGTTGTTCAGGGCGCTCAGCCTGCTGGCGTGATGGTGTTGAGGCAGGATGATACTACGGAGCGACGAAATAGAGAGAAAAGGAGTTTTACGTAGAGGCAACGAATGACCAAACGCTGATGTTGCCTTAGGGCAGGGAACGTATAGGCAGGGAACGGACAGATAGGGACCCTCATATACACACAACCGTGCACACAACACACATTCAAGTCCCACATGCAGTTACTCACGCACCCAGCATAGCAGCTGTGGCAGCACTGGTAGAAGCACCGTCATATGAGGAGTGATCTTTTTCTCTCGCTTACTGTATGCTCATGAGTATCTAGGCAGCTAGTTGTGTGTCTGTGTATGTATGGTGCGTGGCCGTCTGCCTGCGTTCCTCTGTGCGAGTGTGTGTGTGTAAAGCAGGAGTCTGCGCCAGAGGCGAAGGGCGGCTGTTCTTTGCCGGCTCCTAGCGGCTTTTTGGTTCCGATTGCCGTTCAATCCTCTCGCCACCTCTCTTCTCTCCGCTTGGAAAGCGAAGGGAAAACGGAGCGCCGCCAACTGCCAGAGTGAGGTAGAATAAGAGGATTGTTGCCCCGGAGAAAAGCTGTTTCAGGATATTTGCCAGAGGCTGTCAAGGGGTATGCAGGCATATGAGGGGCACCATGAAGATATATGGGGTTGGGGCAAGCTT